TGATCTAAATGCAATGACTACCATAGGGAGGCAGGGGTGTTACATAAGACAAATGTCTCCAAGTGTGGTCAATTCTTACTAAATGCTGTTTTTGCTAAATGTTAAAAATGTTGCACAGTATTTTGCAGAGGTGGATGTAAACAGGATAAGCTCTAGAGAAAATAAACAGGGTACGGGTAGTCAATTGCAAAGAAGAAATCAAAGTGTAATTAGCCAAATAGTGTGTATAAGGAATGGTTAAACCTCCATTCTAAGAGACAGAGTTTTGGATATGAATCCCGTTTCCTTTACTTGTTGCAAATAAACAAAACTACCTTGTGACAACCATGTCTCATTCTTGAATAGAACACCCCAAGCAACAAACCCCTTGAGTTTGGTAACAGAGGGAATGACTTGCCAGCTCTGTTTTAGTTTTGGGGTCTTACATGTGGCTCAAGGCAACTGGAGTCTCAGCATTGGGGTCCTACCATCTCACATCCTTGCTTCTTGCTGTGCATCTGCTGTGCATCTCTCTGTGAAAACTGGTCCCGCCCACTCCATATTTACCCCTACTCTGTGCAGGATATGCTGCCCTCGCATCACATGTATTTACTGTCAGGAGTACAAGTAAGAAGCAGAAACTAAGTAGTGGTTCTCATCTGTAAAGAAAAGATATGGTCTCTACTAAATTCAAACTGAAAAAGAAGGAGTTCAGAGAATTGACAGGAAGATTGGTGAAGCAGGCTCAGGCAGGAACCAAGGAAGGGAAGGCGGAGTTCAGGTTCTGCCACGGGGATGGTCTGCTGAGACACAGGCACCATCAGCACAGAACACTTGCTGCCTACCACTACTGGACGGACTCCCCCAGCCTGAACACTCACCTCTGCCACTGGCCTCTCAACTCTACCGATAGGAATAATCTGAGTCACCTGTGTCTCACTCCCTCAATATTCAAAATTCCTGAGGGTCGCAATACTCAGAACAGAGGGCTATAGTCCAGCTACCGGGAGAGGACCAATTCTCAAAGAGGAACTTGGGTTAAACAGACACCCTCAAAAGGTGTCCATTGCATGCTATATCCCGCTAGGCAGAGGGCATGTGAGAAGGTGCAAAGTGCCGTTGAGCTTAGAAGCGGCTGTCCCAGAGCAGAGTGAGAAACCAAGTGGAGAGTATGAAAGTTTGAATTGATGGGAAAGGTTACCTAGGAATAGGCAAATAGATACCAGGAAGAGCTAGAACTGAAATCAAGAACTTTGTTAGATATAACAGGCCTGGGATCAAATTACAGAAGAACCAGGAAGAACTGAAGAGATGAAGACTAGACCTTCAAAAAGTAGTCCTGGAGCGAGGAAGGCACAACAAGCACAGGTGAAATTCTAAGTGTAGACCAGATGACCATGAAGTTAAAAACTACAGAGTGCAACAAAAAAGAGCAAAAAGATGGGCTCCTCTAAGATTGCCATTTGTTACATGTATACATTGTAGGATGTGTCCTTATATGCCGGAAGCTGGTCCATCCTTGCTGCTTGACACAGTCACTGCAGGGAAGAAACATCGGCACAGCATATGTTTCAAGGGACCTGGTGTATATGGCATACTGTTCTTAATATGTTTGTTCACCTTCTTGGCGCTATGTGTTTTAACCAAGGTCACTTCTCCGAGAAAGGTTGTGTCCCCAGGTAGGGATTTTCCCTGAAGTTAGGGAGGGAATAAAACCCCTTAACTAAGTGCCAGGCAGGTAGTTAATCACTTTAACTACGAACAATCACCCTTAAGTTACATAATCTTTACTCCCTGGAATGGAGATATGAAACGCCCTAACCTTTGGAATAGAAATTGACAGGATTAAAATCA